ATAATTATATTTATAATTATATTTATAATTATATTTATGATTATATTTTATTAATTTGTGTATTGTGCATTGCATAAATTAAAACTTCATTCACAATTTTAATTTTATCATGTTTGACAAAAATCTAGATTCTACAATTTTTCATATTGTAGTTTTTGTCATATCTTATTAATCTCTCTTATTTCTCTTTTTTTAAGAAAAGTGATACAATGCGAATGACTGTAAGTCGCGAAAGTGAAAGCTCGAGAAAATACAGCGTCAATCTTTTTCCTACGGTATGTGAAGCAGGACGGATCGTACTTTATACTTGATATAATACTGCGGGTATTTTGAGAAATTGGATACAATCTTACTTGAAAGGCATTAATATTTGCATCAAACGAGAACAAAGCCAAGAAGATTACATTAAATATTCACACTCTCTATAAGATAAAAATAAAACAAATTATGAAAATTTATAAAAATTAGATTCTGGTAATATTTTCTGCCAATAACGATAAAGTAATTATATTTTATGCAGATTTTATTAAAAGAAAAACGTAATGTTCTGTTTCTTTCAAGAAAATTGTATTTATAATTTAAACATACATTGATAGTGAGAAAACATTAAGTGATTAGAATTAGCAATGATTAATATTAAAAGTCAATTTAAAATCTTATGTCTCACACTTTTGTCACATAACATAATAAATTAAATAATATAATAAATTTGTGGTTTTATATGCTTTTCCATAATGTAAAAAAATATTCATTTTAGAAAATTAATTTCATATAAAAATATTACTAGTAGAAAATTTTGTTGGTTTTTAGATTTCTTGTAATTGATATCTTTTTCCAATCTAGGCATCACAGATTATATCAACTGTATAACTATATACATCACTGAGGTTCTAATTATTATCAGTGTCAAATTTTGACCACTTCATTTTTTTATTTTCTTCATATGTAAACCAGAAATTGGGCTAGGAAATTTATCATACTTGGCATGTCCCCCAAAACCATCAAAAGTCATATCACTGTCACGAGTAGTCTTCTTAAATACATATAAAAAAAGTTATAAACACAAATGCAGCCATGTATAAAAATAGATATAACTACATTAAATATAAATGAAAAACAGTTTACTTGATTTGGTGCATCAAACTTCGATTTTTTGGCAAGTATAGAGGGTACTTTCAAATTGCTATTAGATCTCTCCCTTTTAATACTATGATTCTTCATTGAGAAAAAACCTTGCGATTTTATGTTTTGTGGAGTGATTTCGACGCTATCCTGTAACCAGTGTTAATTCCAAAAATTATAATATGAAATACAACAAAATACATTAATGTAATTAAATAAATTGCAGTTTACTTACTGTGTCTACAATAATACAACTATCATTTTCTTTTAGTCTTGGAGTGACATCAAGCATCATCGCATTCTCGTTTGTTATCTCAATAGATTTCATTTCACAACCTTTATGTACTTTCAAACTATCTTGCTTCTCTGCAGATATTATATTAGGGACAAATTTACATGACTTTATCTGCATAACAAGAAGCTGATTTTGAAGGCTTACTTTATCGCTTTCACAAATACTCAATTGTTGTTCCAATTCTCTAGAAATAAAAGCAATATAATGATAGTGATATAATGATGATAATATAATCTAGAAAAGACAAACTAGAAAAATGATAATTTTCAAATATGTACTTTCGTTTATTGCGTTCCTCTGACAAAGATTTAGATGTTGCAGAAACTCGCATTAATTCCTGTTGTAAAATTTTAACTTTATCTCTTAGCTCTCTTTTTTTTTGTAGATCGGTATTCATATTCCTGAAAATTACATTAATTAAATTATATTACTATATTACTTGCATCTATATTAAATACATATATGTATAAACATAGAATACTTTTTCATTATTACTATGTATGTCTTGAGCTTGTCAATATCACAAGTCATCGCCATTATATCATCCACTTCATCTACAGAAGCATCTAGCAAAGCCTGCAAGCTATAAAATTCACTTTTAGTTGTAGGGTTTAATATAATTTAGAAATTATATATATACTCCTAAAATCTATAATAAAATTATTTAAAAAAAAAACATACTTTTTTAAACCTTCATTTTTTTTCTTTAGCTGTTCTATCTCTTGCTTATAAGTGTCTACATCTTGACATTGCCGTTTGTAAAATTTGATTTGTTCCTTCAGTGCATGAATTGCGCTATTTTTGCCATTTATTTCACTCTCAACTTTTCTAACTTCTTGTCTTAAACCAGCTGTTTCCGTTTTCAAGTTTTCCTTGATTTCCGTAAGATTATTGATTCTTTGGTCCTTTAATTGCAGCTGAAAAGTCAGATTATCAACTTTGTTCTGTAGAGATGTAGGGTCTTCTACGATGCTATCATTGTTTGAAAAATTGAAGTATATTCTATGTATCTTGTTTTCTGTTGTTCTTTCTCGGCATTGTGGGCAAGTTGTTGACCTTTAGAAAAACAATTAATAAGACTTAATAAGGCTCACTATATATAAACCCTTTAAATATATAATACATAAATTTTCAAGAATAGAACAAATATTTAAGCAAGAAAGAAAGAATTAAGGAATACAAATGAATAGAATTTTTGGTGACATCAAAAAATTACCTTTCAAGCCATTGTATCAAGCATAGGTGGTGGAAAATATGTCCACATGGTGTGTAGAAAACTTCACTGGACGGTACTAACAATTCTCTACAAATCACACACACTATATTCATTTTATCCGATTTTGATAATCAAGAACTTCTTAATTTCGACGAAAGAAAGGCTTGATTATTCCGAATATTTCCCCAAAAAATTCGTGTCGCGATGAATCGGTATGGAATAACAATGTTAAAGCTCTCAGTATATTTTGATGACTGTTATGTTGATGTACGTGAATTTTTGGCCCGCACTATTACAAACTGGAGGAAACGTTACGATTGTACAATGTACAATGAGATAGATACAAATTCGAAAAAAGAGATTGTGACAAGTTTCATTGACTGTGGCTGCGGTCGTGAAGACGCTAGAAATGCTTCGAAGCATTGCATTAACCAATCAGAATAAACAAATCTTTACTCTTTTTGTTCTGATTGGTCAATCAAATGCTTCGAAGCATTTCTAGCGTGTTCCCGACCGCAGACCACAGCCTGTAAGATGCAAACAACGTAAATATGCGCCAAAATATTAAAACACTTAAGTAATGCCATCTGTGCTATATATGTCTCATCGTTATGTGTTGTCTAAACTTTTCAGAATATGGTAATATATCGATAAAGTACTGTTAAAGTTACCATTCTCGGTCGATAAATCTTAAAAATCCTGGTACGTAACACAAATCCTGATTATAATAAAATTTTTTTTATAGATATATATATTTCAAAAGTATTTATTTTAAAATTAATTATTTTACTTTCTTCATAATGCAATGAGAGAAATATATTCTATAATATATATATTTACAATATTTACACAGATATGTAGATCGTAATCGTAAACGACGCTACGTTTTCCTGTGGATGTGTACTTGCTTAGATTAATCGTAATAATTAAACAGTGAAATATGTAGATAAAATATTTTATGTCACTGATCGTCTCATAATGATAATACATTACTTTGCATGCACATTATTCTATTTCAGATAATTCTATGAATAATAATTGAAAATCGTTCAGAATAAACATAATTTTATATAGTTTTTTCACAGCACTATCAATCTTTAACAAGATAATTTTAAGATTGTTTTAAAGTCGTACAAAAAATGTCACAACTTTATTAAATTTCATAATAAGATGAAAAGAGAGGAAAAGAAAGAAAGAGAGAGAAAAGAGGATAATGTTCAATTTTTACATTGAAAGATCCCTTAGAGAGAGAGAGAGAGAATCTCATTAGCAAAATTTCTGTCTTCAAGAGATTCACACAAATTTAAGGATAAATTTTGCAGAAATTTCATTGAAACTCCAACCCATATTACTCGCACTACATCATTCACAGCTTGGAATCGTTTTCTTGCTTGTAAGAAGGATCAATTTTGACATTTTGCACAGACTTCCGCTCTTCTAGATTACTCAAGTTCGGCGAGCTCCTGGTTTGATCCATCATTGTGCTTATCGCGGGTATGTTATCGGTGGTTCTTCTGCGGAACTTTAACGATTTACCGGATAATTTCGGCCATTGGATGCCTTTTTTCTTCTTGGAATCGCTGGTCGATTGGTCTGTCTTCATCATCAGGTATTTTGAACTACTCGAACGACTCGGTTCGCCCCCAATTACAGGCATATCAATCGCTTCTGGAATCGGTAGATGCTGGCAGGAGTCTTCACGCTGATGCGGAGGACCGGAGTTATCGTATTCTTCCTCCGCGTTGTCGCAGTCATAGATATCCGACACGTCATGCAGCTTCTCCTCGGTGAACGCTGAATTTACGACGCCTTGATTTCTGTCGCTCTGTGACGAGATGCTCGATCGTCGTCCCTCGGAATCCTCCATGGAAGATTGACGGAAACTTTTGAACGAGTCCTTCCTCCAGGGACTAGCCGCTTCGAGGACGATCGGCATGGAAATCGGCGCCTGGATCGACGTATGTGCGGGATGCGAGATATTCGTCGTGCTCGGCCAAGGATGCATTACTGGCTTGGACGGGAAGAAGGATTTCCCGGCGCGAGACGCTGAACCCTTCGCCAGGGCGGAGAATTTCCTGACGGCCTCGATTATGACGTGTCGATGCTCCACTTCGACCGGTTGCTCTTGCCCATCCAGCTGCACAACCGTTTCGGAACAATTGCCAGCCATCTTCGCAGGTGTTGCAGGGGACCCGCTGATCTGGCTGAAACAAACGAGTCTAACTTAATAGAGTTCCTGTATTGCATCATTTCGGATGCACGAAGCTGTTTACATCAATTATTCATTCATAATTCAAGAATACAGTGTTTTAAATGTATTTTTTATAATTGACTGGGAAAAGAATATGATAAATTTGTAATAATTTATGATTCAAGTAACTATGGTTATTAATTTTATCATAATTATAATACATTGGTATGCGCTTTAATTATAGTTGCTCAACCGTTTTAAAACAATTGCGAGTCAACCTTACCGCCTTTCGTTCATCGGACTTTCGCTTGGATTCGCTAAACTGGCGGTGGAAGTGCGAGGTGTCGGAATACTCTTACATTCCTCCTCTTCTTCCAAAATTTCTGGCAGGAACATCATTTGTTTTTCTTCAGGTACTCTAAAAAGCCAATCAAAACCATTGTCGTAATTTATCACAAAATAAATCGCCAAATTTTAAATATAAAGCTGTATTTCTTCAAGATTCTTTAAGACAAGATTTTCAAGACAACTTGCAAGGCTCATGTTGAGAGAAATAGAAAGAGAAAAAGCAATTTTATATTAAAAATCAACAATCTTATAAATAGACTCGATCAGCCAGAACTTCAAATATTGTTGTAAATTGTATATATACGAAATACTAACGTCATATTCGCTACGCTACCGCGATAGGTTTTCTTCTTGTACGACGCAGCCGCTTCCGTATATGGCAGGCTTATATTTTCGGAGTCGTAATAAATGTCCTTGACGAGCGGCGGACAACGGTTCATCAGCGTATCCACTCCAAGATACGATACCTAGTATTCGTACATAAATACAATTACATGTAAAAGTACGATTTTCCAAAAACAATCTTTAATCGGTTTCTACCTTTATATGACGATCGATCAGCCAGTTCAGCTCAAAATCCTCATCATCATCTCCGAAGGGATTTATCAGCTGTTCGGCTACCTTCAACAGCCCCATAAAGAAAAAAAATTGCAGAATCGTGAAGATGGGCACGTATTTATCTATCTTTAATTGGAATTGCTTTTCGACACCGTCAATGTATTGTCGGCCGATCAAGGCGACCGCAAAGAAGCTATAAGTAGCAAGCGTCACCACCTGGGTGTACACCAATGGAATCGACACCCAGTCGTAACTCCACAGGAGACCGCATTTTGTCCGGAACTCGCTGAATTCCTGCAAATAAGTATGCTTAACGAGTACGAAAAAGGCTTTACATTTATTAATGTATTTGAACAATTAAGTGCTTAGCAATTATCACGTCGCTAAAAAAAAATTTAATCACGATCGAAAATATAAATGGAATTTGATTCAATTGTTATATTGAAAAAAAATCTGCTGTTAAATTTCCTCATGTACGTCATACTCGCTGACTAAGTTTATCATGCATATTAAAATTGACTTTTGCTTGTAACGTGCGAATGCATAATGTGACTGAGACACGTGTGTCTAATCGCGAAAAATAAAAACGTGGTTGATAGACCGCGACACGTAAGTTTATGACTATTTCTAATCGGCTATATATCGACTCGTCGTCGCAGTAGATGCTCGTAAAACCTAATCATTCTTGCACCGAACGATTGATTTCCTTAGTTGTATTTTTATACAATCGTACCATATCATACACGCGGTATTTCTAAAAGAAAATTAAAACGGCAGAAAGAAACAAAGAAAATATGTTCGATACAGACGCCAATTACGTCTTTAAAAAGTTATAATATTTTAGATAATTTTATTTGCTTTATCAGTTGAAAAGAAAACTATATAATAGAAATTAGAAACAATTTTTATGACGGCATTAACTTCTTTAATTTTAACACAGAGCATTGATATAGTATTATTATTTTTATTAATATTTATATAAAATATTTTTTTTTGTGCTTTGTCAGAATAATAAAAAAAATTTCCGTCGATTTATGAAGATTAAGCAATTAAATGTAAGAGACACACATGAAGTTTATATTTGTACCTCCATTATTAGCTTTAAACCTTGCGCGTCAGGTAGCCTGTGAGTCTTGCGTGCCTCCTTGAGAAGATTAACGAACCATGTACACGGTATCCAATAGGTGTTAAATTCGCTGCTCGGCACCGATTGGTACAATTCGAGCTCCAACGTGGTCATGAAACCTGCAAGATGCTCGTTAATTTTTAACCATCATGAGGACGATGATCGATAGTCTTTTCATTGTGATTTACCAGAATCAACGACGTGATCAAGAGTGGGGAATCGTCTCTTCACCGCCGAACTGATGGAACGTAGGACGAGTATCAGGGAGAGGTTTAGGTAACGCATGAGCGCCCTGCGCAGCATCCGACTGTACTCGTCATTTCCGCTGACGTAGAGAGCCACGAGATGCATTACCCTGCAGGAGATAAAAAATGAAACAAAAATATTACACTTGCTTTTTTTTATAGTTTATTTTAGTAATATAGTCGTTTCCCTCAAATTCTGTTTAAGAGAAAAGGAAATATCTAATGTTCTTCGCTGATGAAAATTTAGGAATTAAAGTAAAAATTTAAAATATATTGTTTAATAACTGCTTCCAAACTCACTTGTCAGGCCATGGTATTGCCTTGTATTGCTTCCACCATCTCTGCGCCACATAAGATACGTAAAACCCGAGCACGAAACTCAGCGGGATTAATTTGATCAAGGTGTCGCAGTAAATAACAACTTGCTCGAATTCTCTGTAACGTGTTATGTATTACAATAATTCTTAAAAGATTACTAGAAAAAATTAACAGTAAGTTAGCTTTGAACGATAAATATATGTGCGACAAGATAATTAAAATAATTAATAATAAATTTTATATGTATATATATTTAGTTTGTATATTAAAATATAACGGAGTGTCTACCGTTTTTGTGCGTTATTAAAAGCATGGCGATAAAGTGCGGACAAGGCGCCGAAGAGAAGCAGATAAAGTAGCAGTTCCCTGTAGATGAGCTTGTACAGGGAACCACGCCACATAAACAGAAGCCTGGTGAATCCACCGCTGGTGGAACTGGCGACCTCATACTGATAAGAGACCGTCATCTTTTATCCATTCAAGAACACCGTACCAATTTCTTTTTATGAACGATGTACTCGCGAGCACGTTGTTACTCATACTTCCAGAAATTTTCGCCTACCAAACCTAAAAGCAAAATTATACACTGCAGTTGTAAACTGCAACATGTTTAGTCATTGAGATACTTTTGAAAGAAGTTATACATCCAAAGAGATTTTAATTACAATATTAAAATTTATTTATTATAATTATAAGTTTGTAAATTAATTTATTTTAATAAATAAAATTAATTTTTTTATAAGCTAATTTATATAGAATAAAATAAAATAGACAAAAGAAAAAGACACGCTTCCAAAGTCTTGTTTTAAATCTTGTTTCAAATATTTGAAAATTTTGTTTATATATATATTTTACTTCTACATACACATACATGTCTCACCTAAGTAATTTCTAACTTAAGATGGACCGGCTATTGTACCGAAATGGGCTCGTATCCTAACATAGGATAATCCGTTCCAAGCACTAGCCATTTCGAAATAACTTATTGTCGGAGGATCGTTTCTCTGTTAGCTATTAATACATAAATAATATTTACTAATATGTTATATATTTCATATTTCTATATTTTCAATTTTTATTATTCAATTACGTACCAACTGCAAACGAATGTTAGCTCAATCTTTAGATATAATGATCAAACAGCTAAAAAATTCCTACAATTAATGAATAATTGTTTAAAATATACATATTGGTTGTGAAAGTAATAGTACTTTTTCAGATTAAAAGTATATTAAACATAGTGTATATATGTATAGTATCAGGTGATTGCATAAGTTCGTGCCCGATTTAAATATAAACTTCAATAGATTATATTTTAGAGATAACACTTGTCCCCTACACACTCTTAAAGTTTTGACATTTAAATTGGGGACACCCTGTATATATATATATATATTATCATATCTTAATCTGCCAAACTACTGTCTACTATATAATACATACAGCATCCACACAAATATCTGTTCTTGTCAACAAGCTATAACACCGCTTTTATGTATATCTAATAGTGCAGCGAGCTATGTATCATTATCGCAGTTTTAGCATAAGTTGTGCCAATAGACAATTAATATAGTTCATTGAAAACGCAATTTCGTGATTTTTTCACGGACGACATTGGTAATATGCGCAATCGCATTATTCGCTAGAAATATCCAGGATGCGAAACCTCGACTAGAAACGGAGTAACCTAGGCTTAGATATTGTATCCGTTTATACTCCAATGCTTTGCCAATCAAGGTCATAGTTCAAACACAGCTGTATAAAAGATTTATCATATTTACCGTATAAAAGATTACGCTCTATAAAGATAAGGCTAATAAAGCTAAGGCGGATAAAGTTATCTCATTATGACATTATAAAACTCCTGCTATTTAACAAACATTTAAATTTCATCAGTGAATACAAGGCAAATATAAAGGCATTATGAGACTCCCGCTAATTAACAAACACTCAAACTTCATCAGCGAATATGGGGCAAATATAAAATTCCACATGGCGTGTAAAAAGAAATTTTTTTGTGATTAAACATTTATTTAATTAACTTTGATCAAATTAATGTTGCATTAATTTTGTTACGATTGCGGTTTGGATCTGTATCATTCCCGGCGCTTTATATGCGTATTTCGTCATAGCTATGAGCTGGATGGAGTTTCAGAATGCATCAGTGACGCCAAAAACAATTGCACACGTCACAAGTAAAACGTCATCGCCTAACTACAAATGGTAGCTGAAGATTGCTGGCGTGACTGCAATTTTTTTCTGTCGCGGGATCCATCGTAAATAATGTCTAATGGCAATGTCTGTCTCGGGAAACGCGCCAGTAATGCGACGGTAAATATAACTTTGGGCATTAAAGTAACCACGAGGTGTCTGGGTAAACACACAATTTGCACGAGATTTTTGCGCGAGCTTTGCGGCTGCACTTCAAGATGCATTTTGTCGATCGATATCTCGAAAATGCATCGCGAAGCGCAGCCAGAACGATGCAGCAGCAATTGTTATCGCGTGCTTGGCACTCTAATTGTCATCATTTGGCTTTTGAATCTTTCCAAGCATCTGAGAGTGAAAGACAATCTGAGATCTCTTGCAATTTTTACTATCGTTATTTTTTATGCTATAGATAAATATTTTAAATATATAAAAAAAAAAAATTTGTTTTGTGCGAGAAACATCATAGTAATTGCAATATATTTCTGCTTCCTTAAAAAACTTTTAGGCTTATATGTACATTACATTTAAGATATCAATCTAATTGTAATAATTTCTTTGTTTGATATTTATATTTGCATATAAGTGCATGTTTCAAATATAAAAGTTTTTTTTTAAATTATTCATATCTACATAAATACACATACACTTGTCAAACATATAAATTAATTTAAAAAATATGCTTTAGACTTATATATAACTGCGTCTATTATAATTAAAAACTTTTTATAAATTTGAATTAATAATTAAAAATAAAACTCAATATTAAGACAATCAATGTTTTATTATTTGACTTTTGTACTAATATCCACTGAAAAATAACCCTCAGCAGATCTATAATAAAATAACTTGTATAATAATTTAACCATTTCATGACGTTAAATTATCTGGTCAGACATATCGCACGTATTTTTCTTTCACATTTAATGAAATCATGATCTCCATCGGCACGCGTGGCATGTCTTTGCCAACAAGCTGTATAATATAAAATAGGTGAGATGAATCGCTTCGCGTTTTTGGCTCAAGTATATTCGATTCTATGAGTAAATATGTCTTCGATGTAATAGCTTCATTTTTAGTTATTTGTACCATATAATGTTGATGCATCACGAACACGCCGTTAGTAATACGCGTAAGGAACAACGTCGCCGGATCGTCTGACGATTGTATTATATTTCCGCGCGACCTTACCGAAAATATCCGCAATGAAAACCGCGATCATGGACAAAATGCGAAATTTAGAATTTCTTCTCGAAGAAGGACCTTTTACGCTACCGATTTAGCTTTTGATTAAAGATCGAGCTTATCATTCAATATAATACTTGTTAGAAACAGAATTAAACGAAATTATTATACATAAATTATTATACATATAATAATTTTATAAATACAGTTGTTTAAAATGGTATGTTGATATCTTTTACAAGTAAATATTATTAGAAACAAATAATTAATTCTCTCAAACGTGATTATTGTATTGTATATAGGTACATTTATTTGTAAAATAAATACAGAGAGAGAGAGAGAGAGAGAGAGAAACATGCAGTTAAAATGCAAATATAATATTGGAAATAAAAAGTTTAATAAATCATTTCTTTTAATTGTTTCAAAAATAGAAATACATTTGCCTTAAACTTTACATTAAAAAATCACATTTGTTAAATTTTATTTTTATAATGTTAAATAATAAGAGCACAATGTTAATTATTCATTTAATATGCAAACATAACATAATATTAATTTAAACTGCAAATGGTGGAGTTCTAAATTATATATAGGGATATAATATAAGTTACAAATTAACATTAACAAGTAGCATTAATGTCGCGTCGATATTTGCTGTTTCATCATTTTCCAGATATTATGTATTAATTACGCAAAGCCATATATAATTTGTGTGCTATTAGTTAAAAATTTAATTATTTAATCTTAGCAATACATGTAGTTAAGAAAAATAGAATTCTGAATATCAATGAAGAACATGTCTAGATTTGTTTTAACACAAAGTATATGAATATATATTGTTATAAATTTTATCCAAGTAAAATATAAAAATATTATTTTTTAATATTTTATTTATAAGTAACTTATGCAAATTTCTAGTGCGTGAACAACGTGCACTTGGTGAATTATTTATAACACATGATTGTAAAACCAGACATCACGATTTAAGTCTTGACCACGTTGCATTGATAATAAATGCACGCCAAAAAGTAAACATTCTCGTAAATATTTATAACTTCGCGGAAGCGAATACATAAATTATCAATAAATAAATTTCTTTGAAGCCTTTCTGCGCCTAACAAGTCTATTCTTACGTATCTCACGCATTCAATTTGATTTTATTACAAATATTCAAATTTTGTCTTACATTTTAGATGTAATTTATTGTATTATTTTATAGTGTAATATACAAAGGAGTGCGTAATTATAGTGTCTCTTCATATATAGCAATATGTTTTTCTATTGTCATGCGAGATAGGCTGAAAAATTAAAGACATGATAATCTTGACTCACCATGTAAAATACTTTATCAGTCGTAACTAATGCATTTGTTTTATCTTCCTTCTTGCATAAAACCATTTTTCATTGCGTACAACGCGAATATCTGCTTATCGTTTTCGCATTTGCGCATTGTCGCTTTAAATCAGACAAATTAAATGATCTGATATCGACGTCTCTTCCGGTTGTATAATTTCGAAATCAGCTGGCTAAAGCAGCGGCCAATTCAAATATGAACGACATGAGAATTAATTTGATCTTCGTTAGCTGTCACAATTAATAATTTCTGCACAATTCTTTTGCATTATTAATAACTTCTGAATTCTGTTTCTTTATTTAATCTTCCTCTCTTCTCTTCCTCTGTAAGAACACTTCTTATAGTAGAAATAAATATTCTTTTCACTTATCAAAACACTAAATTAGAAGCTTATTTAACAATCTTTTTGAATTATACTTTTTCATGACAAATCACATGTACAGCTTCTAAAATTAATATATGGTTATTTCTAAGTATATGCTGTGTTGCTTATAAGTCACAAAATATAAAAAAATTGTTTACTTCTAATGTTTCTTTAATATTAAAACGACAATAATGTATGTAATTTGAAATCACAGTTTCAGTAGAAAATTAATAACGTTTAAAATATCTTCTCTTTGTCGACGTGTCTCGAATGCACATTTTATCATTCAGTCGATATATTTTTTTCTCGGTCTCTATTTATAATTGAAAAATCTTCTCGCAACCATCTATCTATGGCTTTTCTTAAGAATAGATCCAACTACTGTTTCAAAGTTCTTCATAAACGCATTCAAGGAACTCGAACCAAAATTAAGATTGCACCAGAAGTAATTTCCACCTGCGATTTCCACGGCGATCGGTTACGAGAATCGCGAAGCGGTCTCGCCGAAAATCACGAGCCGAAAACTCATCAATGGAAACAAGTGGGGATCGCGATTCGAGATATATCGAAGGGAGACATTATCGCGTGGGTGCGCACTTGGCGCACGTCGATGACGAACTGGTCGCGACTGAATCGAAACGCACGGCATACTCTCATATAGGCGACGGAATATAAAATATTGCAGTTGGGCGCGATCGCGATCCGATGGCAGTTGCCCAAGATCTAAAAAGGGCCGACTGTCAAGCTCACGCACGTAAAATGCACGTGAGCTTTTGCGGAAGCGTCCAGCGCGGAGTCATCCTCCGGATCAACCCTATCGCTTTACAAAAGGAGTGTTTAGTGTCCCTTTGCCTCTTCAAAATGATGGATGAGAGAGAAATTAATAGCGTTTTCGATTTGCACAATCCAATCTAAGCGCAAATAACGCTATAATTCAAGATACGTGTAAGGAACATACAAAAAATATCAGAAATATTAGAAAATATTTTCTAAATGTTATTTATAATGTTTTTTGATCTCTTGTATCATCTAAATTAATGAAGAGCAATCTTCACAGTTTCATATTTCAAAAGATTTATACATAATTGTAAAAGTTAAAATATTATTGGATTAAATATGTATGTGTGTATATATATAGATATATATACATACCATATATATATGTATACAGAAGGCCCACGTAAAGTGTTACAAGCCAATAATTCTAAAAATATTTGTCGAATCAAACAGTTGTTCATGAGAAAGTTTTATGTATTCAAGGGCCTTTTTAACTATGTAAACATGAAGTCGCACCCACTCTCCCGGCGGGAAGTAACTTCATAATTTCAAATGGAACCCCCTATAAAATGTTACATATTTGGATTCTATAGAATCCAAGAAAAAACAAGTAAATTTTACCTGAAACATTTGTTTGAAAAATGTTTTTATCAAAAGTTATAAACATTTAAACTTTAAAATAGAGTGCATATATTCAAACTAATGATAAAACTATAAATTAAATGAAAGATCATAGTTCTTTTGTTTGTTTTTTTACTTTATTAAATGTTTGAACTGTTCTCATTTAAACATTTATTATTTCTTTCTACGAAGTTTGCGCTAGCGTTCTCAAATTTTCCGAAAGTTACAGCGTGTACAGACATTTTCCAAAAAATTCAAAATTTTATAACAAATAAACCCTTTCACCGATACTCACCAAATTCAGTAGCAACCATCCTTTAATAATACTTTACCTATGTAAAAAAATTTAACCTGATATCTCAAAATTTGCGAAATGTGTACAGACATTTCTCAAAAAATTAAAAATTTTATAAAAAATGAACATTTTCATCGATTCTCACTAAATTCAATACCAACCATCCTTTAACGATACTCTATCCATGTAAAAAAAATTTAGCCCGATATCTCAAAAATTACGGAAGTTAGAGGTTGTACAATATATTGCGTACATATATACACACATACATACATATACACATACATACATACATACAAACATTTTTAGGAATATGATTTTTCGACGTTTTGGAACATTCTAAACACATTGGCATAGAAAACTTGAAAAAAAATTTTGTCACGAAAACAAAGCTTCCTCTATGAGGAAGCAAAAA